AGTAGTTGACTCTAGGATGTGAGTCAGAAGAATGGAGTGAAAATATATTAACTTTATCTGCATTTTTAATCCCTTCTTTAAAAAGTAAATACAGAAAGGTTAACATCTATTATTTAATTGTTAAATAAATAATTATTATATCTGGGTAGAAGAGCATGAACATTGTTGTAAATTATTTTCTCTGCCTCTGTATGTGAAATAGTTCCTAATTTAAAAAATATATAAAAATATTATTATGGGGCCAGCCGGTGGCGTGGTGGCTAAAGGGCTGGAGCCCACAGAGCCAACTGTGTGGTCTGAGTCCTGCAACCAGTGGCTTGAAAATACACCAAGGGCATGTGTGTGCATGCCCAGAATCCCCAAAGGAGGGAAAGCGGGGAGAGAAGGGAACGCCGTGTAACCACGTCCCCTGGGTAGGTGCTTCCGCGCTCTCTCGCTCTCGCTCCCGGTGGCGTGGTGGCTAAAGGGCTGGAGCCCACAGAGCCAACTGTGTGGTCTGAGTCCTGCAACCAGTGGCTTGAAAATACACCAAGGGCATGTGTGTGCATGCCCAGAATCCCCAAAGGAGGGAAAGCGGGGAGAGAAGGGAACGCCGTGTAACCACGTCCCCTGGGTAGGTGCTTCCGCGCTCTCTCGCTCTCGCTCTAGCTCTTGCTCTCCCCCCCCCCCCCATTTTTTTCACAGATACCCTCTGGCAATTTTTAAAAAGTAATAAATAAATATTATTATGAACATATAGTAGTAGCTGCAGAGAATCAATCAACAAGAAGTTTTAGAGGAACAAACACGAGACCAAAAACCACACTAATTAGAAATCTCACCGAAGATCCAGTCCCGCTTCCTTCCAGAGTAAATCCATCAGTCGCAGCATCTGGAGGGTCAGCATATCCTGTCGTAAATCTAAGGGGTAAAAACTGCTTCATTATAAGTGCTCTGCGTTTTATGCCTAATAACACATTAATGCACGGTTAGCTAATTCAATTAGAATGAACTGAAACCATTAACAATGGCTGTGCTAATATCCCCCTCCCCAAATTTAATATGGAGCACATTCATTATATCAAATGCTAGGCTCATTGGCTAGCATGTCCCTATAACATTATTTCAGAAACTAAGCTAAAAAAAATTTTGTGTTCACCATGTACAAGCTGCTGCATGAATTGTATGCATGCTATAATACTGTCTGCATTACACTGCATTGTATCGGATTGTTCATTGTTTTCCTTCTGCATTACACTGCATTGTATCGGATTGTTCACTGTTTTCCTTGTTTGTTTTTTAGGCTACACAGGAAGTTCTAAATATCACAGCAGTGCATCACCGATCCAAAAAAACCGTAATCGCTGAATTTACTTATCCAAGAGCATGTCCAGGGAATAAAACGTGTAAAAGCAATGACCTCTACATAGTGGCATTTGTACAGTCGCTTGGGATTCACTGTCTAGTAAAGCACCGGAAGGGGTCTGCATTAAGAAGTCTCAGGCACATAGAGTGCGGCACGTTTTCTCGAGTTATCTCACTTCCTGTTAATAGCCCTGACACACACAAAGAACCTGAAGCTCAGTGAGTTTTACGAGACAAGTTTATACTCTCACAACTAACAAGTCAAAAACTGCCCATTTTCTAAAAATTAATTATTTAGCTTTATTTTTATTCTTAATTTTGATCAGAGAGGGACAGAGCGAGAGAGAGAGAGAACGAGAGAGGGAAAGTGTGAAGGCAAGCCACTTGAACCAAGATTCAAACCACTGTCAGCCATGTGGGAGTCCAGTGCCCTTAACCACCATGCCACCCATCGGCTCCACAATTGCTTTCTGATTGGTGTTATTACATTAGAGATATTTCCTTCATAAAGACTGGGTCAATTATATGTGCGAGTGTGTGTGTGTGTGTGTGTGTGTGTGTGTGTGTATGTGTATGTGTGTGTGTATGTGTATGTGTGTGTGTGTGTGTGTGTGTGTGTGTATATAAAATTATTAAATTTTCCAGCGGGTGCTGCTCTTGCCAGAGAGGAAGAGAAAGCACCACCCAATGGGGCCTGGCCACACCACAATCCCTTCTCCATTTCTCCATCCCAACAGGATTTTGGGCATGCAAACATATGTACCAGGTCTGTTTTTCAAGCTGCCAGGGCAAGGATTTGAACTGTGTGATTTGCCATATGTAATCTGACTCTCTTAACTATCAGGCCACAGGGCCGGTCTCAGTCAGACATTTTTAATTAAATTATAAAACTATGGCAGCAAAAATCAATATTGCTATGACTGAAACAGGATGTATGAATACATTATTAAAATGATCTCTTGTATTATATAAGCCTTTTATCGAAGGAGTAGACCGTATTTTTTTAAGAATTATTTTATTTAACTTTATTTATTTTAACTTGATCAGATAGGGACAGAGAGAGAGATGGGAAGTGAGAAAGCAAGCCACCAGGTCTGGGACTCGAACCATGGTCAGCCAAGTGGGAGTCCAGCGCCCTTAACCAGAACGCCACATGCCAGCTTGAGCTTTGTATTTTATAAGAAAAAAGGGGAAGATTTATTAGAATAGAACACGTAAGTAAATTATAGAAGTCATTTTCCAAGAGGAGAAAAAAGGCATTTCAAACATGATGACGGGACCTCATGATCAGAGATAGCTCTACTTCTTGACGTGCAAACTGCTATAGACGTATCACCGTTCAGATAAAGCAGAAGAGCAACCAGTATGAAAAGGCCTAAGGAATCTGGTGATGTAGAAAACTCAGTACTTACCATCACCATTTTTAAAAATAACTCCAACTGAGTCCTCACCAAATACTTTGTTGTTATACACCAGCCACAAAGGCTTCATTTTAGAATCCATGTATTTGCATTTTTCAACACTAAAATGAAATAAGGGGAAAATTAGCCCAACTTGATGGAATGATATGGAATGACTGCAATTTTAGCCCTGATATACTAGGTTTAGGGGAACCCCCTTACCCGTTCTTTTAGATCTGTAGAAATGAGAGCTAGAAAATTTCCTCTTGGAAGGAAAAGTAACGTGAAGACAGCTCTTTGGTCGTCACGTGCTGATGCAGACGAGCTGGATGCAAAACCCAAGATCTGCCCTGATCACTGAGTTTGCCTACAACTCCTCCCGAGCCAGGCAGGTGGCATGGGTTATGGCTGCTGGATCCCACGTGGCCGACTGCCTACTTACAATCCCAGACTTATAAACACACTGAGCATGTGTACGCATGCCCGAAATTCTGAGAGGGTAAAGGAAGGGGTTGCAGCATGGCCCATCACCCCCGGGGAGGTGCTTTCTCACATTCCTTCTCTCTATCTAACAAAACAAAACAAAACGAAATGAAATAAAAACACTTCTGCCATTTTCTTAGATTCGCTTGACTTTATGCTATTATATTTAATGAGTAAAAAAATTTAAGGCGAGCCTGCGTTGAACAGTCTGTAGTGTACTGACTACAGTGTTAGAAGCCACAAAATCAATAAGTTTGGATTCTTGATTAGCCTGAAAACATGCCAGATCTTGAGAAACTGGAGGAGTGAGAAAAGGAGATTATGACATGATGAAATCCTAACAAAAGAACTCTCCACATTGTTCTCTATCATTAAAAAAAAAGGGGGGGGGAACAAATCATTGAACTAATAGAAATATTTAGATCTTTTTTGATTTCTTAGACAAGCATCAGTTTTGAGTACTAATATACAGTGAATACACATTATATTTTAATGTGTATTATTATTACTTTTGTACAAAATGAAAAACTAAAAATTAAGTTCTCAAATTCATTCAAGATCCTTCTTTATTTTTAGATTCTATTTATTTATTTGTTTATTGCCATAGGGAAAGTGAGAAATCACCCGTCGGGGGGATGGCCACACCATAATCCTTTCTCCTTTCTCCTCCCAGGATTTTGGGCATGTACGCACACGCATCTGGTGTGATTCTCCATCTGCCATGTCTGGGACTCACACCACAATTAGTCACAGAGAGTCCAGCACCTTAACCATCGTACCACCTGCTGGTCTCAAGATTCTTTTGTCTTTTAGTGCCAGAGAGGGCATGCGTGCACGAGGGAGAGGGAGAGAGGAAGAGAGAGAGAGGGAGACGGAGAGATGGAGAGACCAACTGGGACTGGCCACACCGTAATCGTTTTTCCTCTGATTTGCTACCCCATCAGGATCTTGGGTATGTGAATGTGCCCAGGATGTTTTTCAAGTCTATGAGGCTGGTATTCAAACCCTGGTCAGCCATGTGGCTTCCTCTGCCCAAAGCCTACTTGGTTATCTAGGGGAATGGCCCCAGAAGATTTCATTTAAAAATAGGAAAGTCAGTAAGTACATAATTAATTACATTTTGCAACTTTTTTTTTTTTGAGAGGTTTTCACTATAGGGCGCGTGCGCTCGCCAGACAGACAGAGAGAGACATAGAGACAGAAAGGGAGCAA